AAATTCGAATAAATGTAAATGTAAACCCGGAGATTATAAAGACACATTATATGTGGCGTTGATTGTAACAAGAATAAATTGGACACATACATCGCATCACGCGTGACGTTCCTATGAAAGCGCATGATTGTCAATCCCATTCAGAGATCTTATGTTTTTCTTTTGCTCGACTTAGGTAAAAGCAATAATATTTGGTGCATTTATATAAAAAGAAACGTTCCTTGTATAAAACAAACTCATGTATATCACGTGATGTTTATTATATGAAGGCTAAAAATATGCCTTTCATTTCTAAAACAACAGACAGAATTTTTTCTTATTCCGACAATTCCTTCCACTTATTCTTTTGAGAATTTTGGTTGACACATATATGTAAGATCTGTAATCGCAAATACGAAACGGCAATGGTTTTCACAATATTTACTTTAAAATCTATTGAGCGCATGTATGATGAGAGCACATACTAATTATAGTAACATAATTTTTATAAATCTTGAACAACACTTGTTCTTAATATTAAAATCATGACCATTTATTTGTTTACTTTATCAATTATTTACACCTGTGGAATTTGTTAGAGATGCCGAAATAAATGTGGATATTTTCATAATTTTCTTGTTTCGCCAAGAATTCAGTTTGCTAATATTCACGTGACCTTATCATGAGCAAGAATGCTTTTACTTAGAACAACACAAACAAAAATTTAAGTATCTCCATCGTCTGGTTATTATGAGGAAGTTTAACTGGTGGTCGCATGCACCACAATCTGTTCTCGCATAATATTACCATTTCATGGTATAAAATAAAATAAAGTTGGGAAGTTCTTAAATGCGAACAATATGATAAGAGATGGCAACCAACCATCTGAGAATGCAAAATATCGAAATTGTTATTTGAATAATACAAAATCATACTGTTTATTTTTATTAATAATAAACATTCAATTATCCTTGCTTAATATAGCCTATAAGGAAAGCTATTTATAGAGAAGTGATTATTGTCACGCGGATGATCTCGACCAATACGTATGGGATTTCAATACAAACAACTAAAGGTAATTAAGGAACCTTAAGGAATGTGGAAATGCCGATTATCTGCATGCATTTAGACATATAGACAGACACTGGTTTCTTATAGGTTTTCTTACACAGATGGATGGTTACTAGTCGTTGCTTATCAATTCCTACATTCGCATGCGGATGGATCCATTAAGCAATGCCCGCCACAGACTCCATTCGTATTATAGTTACCGCATTTGGAAACTCTTCTTCCATCGATATCTTGAATGTCCACGCAACAGCCACAGGTCGGTGTACACCTCATCCTGGATGATCACTATCACGCTCGTTTTCTCGGCCTTGTGTTTCAGCCGCTGCCGGAATGTGTAATGTGACCAGGTAAACAAGAGCTTCTTTTCTCTTTCGAGACCTGGTCTCTGCTTCAGGCTGGAGATCCTCACGTACATGTAATTTCTCTTGGCGGAAGCAGTGGTGGAATCGGTATTATCTGGAAAATATTTTGAGACATCGTATAGTCTCATTCCCGTTTCTGAAGTCAACCAACGCATATGTGATAATACTCTTTGAGTTTTTTCGTGACCTAAGCGGACAAGAACATTTTTTTGTTCGTGGATCAGGAACCTTTTCATATTGAATTGTAATAGTTGGAATTTATTTTTTATTTATTTAATTATTTTCGAAGGCAGACATGATTTTTTTTTTTTTTTTTTTTATCCTGTAAATGTGATCCCAAATTTTCATTATATACATCTTGTTTAAAGGTAGAAATCGAGAAACGCATTCAGTATTTTTTGTCGTCTTCAAAGATAATTGTTCATTTATAGAATAAGTTGATTATTGCAGTTAAATTTAAATATAGTTGTTTCAATATACAGTATACTGTAATAGTGCACATAATCGATGAGAAACTTCTCGTAAAAAACATCAACTATCCAGTTTAATAGATGAATTTAATACCTTTCACGGTATTATTCATTTTCTATAAGCACCTTTTTCAAGAAGGCAAATTTATTTTTTGACCAAATGGCAGTTACAACCTGATCACGAGTGTTCACATGGAACGTAAGACAGTAATGATGCGATAAAGTGTCCATTGCTCTTTATAAATATTTATTATGCTAGCATCTTATCGGCAGTTGAAATTCTATCCATTACTTTGGCAACTCCGATAATGGCATTTAAACTTAAGTCAGGGTTAACAACTACTCCGTAGTTTGATCTTCAGTGGTTCTCACAAGTGCAATTCGATGTTTGTGTTAACTAAGAATGATTAATGTTTTTGTTTGTTTTTTGTTTGGGATGACTTTGTACACACGTAGTGATCATTATAATTCGAACGCAATTACTGCAAAACAAAATTTAGCGTACATTCAAGTAATAATATCTCCTTAATCTGAATCCTCAAATGCTAAATAATAATGAATAATACCCAATCTGTTATAATACTGTCAAAAGTAAGGCTGAATAAAATAACACATTTTGGATGAGACTTGATGTAACAAATCGCAATATCCACTATCGAATTATCATAATTGGTTTCCTTGTCACAATCAGTCAATTGGTCATGTCATTCTACGCTAAGAACAAAGACTACAGTATACGTGTGTGTAACGTTTATAATTGAAAAAACAATTTTGGATGTGGACAAATCAAAATCAACGCAAATTGTTTGGTTTTAACGTTTACGTAATAATATTTTCAGTCAATTCACGCGGGAAATTTTGAGAAATAGACTTTAACATATATGCACGCCAAGGGTGCTGAAATTTTTTGTATTATGATAATAGTGACTCTTTTTCATTCGTCTGTTATTAATTGATCAACAATCGAACCCATAATTTCATTTGGTCTATCGGTAAAGTTAATTTTAAAGTAGCCCCACATCGCGCGATATGGTAACGAAATGATTTACCCGATTTCGAAAGTATGATAGTCGCCGATAATCTCTTCGACCTTTTTCTTTTTGTCAATCTTCTGATCGATTCCCTTTTTCTTAACACCAATCAAGGGTTACCGAATTTCTCTGAAGTCGATGTCCATTAAGAAATTTACATTTATAGCTTTTTAAGGGCAACTATTTTATCAAGTTATAAATCATATACGACATGGGTATTTATTTTAGCCAATGAGAACCTTGAAACGATTGATTATCCCTCGCTTCCTTCACCGATCCAACCGTCTGAATATATAATCATCAATTGATTTCCGGAGATTTTTTTTCTGAAACACCATCGACAATAAAACAATGACCAACACATTAGGATCTATTATTTAAACTTTATTGCTGTTATTTATAGATCTTTTCTCAGAAGAAAAGAAAGACCCTTGAAAGGAAAAATAGGTTGAATGACTTTGATAAATCTGGTAAACAAGTAATGAACCGATACGGTGTTCAATGTAAAATGCTGCGGTCATTTTAAAGGTTACCTCACATATTCAATGCCAAATTGTTCATTTATTTATTATTATCTTACATCATTCTTGCCTATAGCGAGCCTTCTATCCTCGTTTCGTCGAGGCTT